CGCGCAACAACTACTCATTCCAGCCGGTATTCCATGAGCGCACCAACATGGAGGACGATGCGCTGCTTTCCGATAATCTGTGGAAGCTGGCCCGCAAGACGGGCACATTGAATATGACCAACAAGGGCATGTCAAGCGGTAAGTAGCCAAATGCCAATTTCAGATGCATTTTGCGTTATGATACTGTGTATGTGTGTGTATGTGTATGTATGTGTGTAGTGGTTACGGCAGAGACAATGCGACGCTGGAACTCGATGATCAATAATCCGGTGGTGAGGAGGCATGAGACAGACACACATGCTGGGACACACTCGCATTCGGCCGGGTTCATGGACAGCAGCGCCTTATGGTTTCTCTATATGTAGATGTGATTGCCACACACAATATCTCGAACCTTGCCCCTGGCCTGACCATAGAAGGCGCCGTGCCATATTACACGCCTCACTAGTCAATCCCCACGAGCGGCGACTGATGTAATCTTGATTTATATGTTGTTATTTTTGTTTTGAGTGTTCCCATCGAGCGTTCAGTTTGTGCGTTGCGCTCGCTGCCCGCAGAAGTGTGTCGCTTGCATCGTTTTTGTACCAAAATATCCATCAAGATTGCGTCCTCGAGGCAAACAGGGAAGCAGCTCACATCGTTTTGCATGTGTGGTCCGCATCCGCGACGGCGACGGCGACAACGATATTATCAGATACGTGAATTTCAAATGGCCTCATCGGCCGATGAGCTGGAAAGCGATGATCCAGAAGATGAAGTTGAACTTGAACTGGATGATCCAGCGCCGCAGTCCAGCAAAGATGCCGCTGCCCGTAGAGATAATAAACACAATCCGACACGAATTCTAATGCTCATCCATCCTTCTGTTGACTATTGCAGTGCCCGAGCGTATCTATGACATTAACCAGGCCGATGATGACAGCAAGAAGGCCAATCTGGTGCAGTTGTCCATTAGCGAGGAGGATGCCTGGTGGAATCAGGTGCCACTGGAGAATCTGGACCTGAGCTCCAATGCCCTGTCGCACATATCGCCCAAAATTGAGAATCTGCTGACGCTAACCGTGCTGCAGCTGCATGACAATGCGCTCGTCGCTCTGCCGCCAGAGATTGGCAAGCTGGAGAAGCTGGTGCGCCTGAATCTTAGCCACAATAAGCTAAGTGAATTGCCAATCGAGCTTTTCAGCTTGCCAGAGCTGCGGCATCTAAATATATCGCATAATGAATTTATTGAGCTCAATCCGGACATCAGCAATTTGCACATGCTCGAGTTCCTGGTACGTAGATGCTCCCAAAAAAACCCAAAGAAAATATCGAACCAACTCTCTGCTTTAAGTTCGATACGTGAAACCGATTTTACACACTCTTAAATCCACGTTTTGGTCTAAACCTTGGTCTGTCATATATTTAAAAAAATTAATCTGCTTTTGGGCAAATAGTTTGGTTTAACTTTCGCTTCAAAGTAAAAAAAAATATATAGAAATTGCCACTTTAACCGGTTGGGTCTCAAAACTTGTATTTGAATTAATCCTTTAACCAGCTCCAACTAATCCAAATCGTTTTCCATTTCCGCCCAACTTACCCACTGAACCAATTGCTTTGCTAACATCATTTAAAACAAGGATGCTGGGAACAATAACATAAACAGCTTGCCCGGTGGCATTGGGTTTTTGGTGCGTCTAACGGCCTTGCTGCTGGGCGATAACCATATCAAGGAACTGCCGCCCGATATTGTCTATATGCGCTGTAAGTTCGCATTGGACCCAAAAGCTTATGCTATAGTAATTTCTGTTGGTTTGAAGCCCTGCAAAAGCTGGACCTTATGAAGAACGATCTGATTGCCTTGCCGGAGGACATGGGCCTGCTGCGAAAGCTGCAATGCTTGTATGTCCAGCACAATGACATTAAGGAGCTGCCCGGCTTTGAGGGTAACGAAGCGCTGAACGAACTGCACGCCAGCAACAACTTTATAGAGGTACGTTAGCTGGAGATACTTTATGCAGCCATAAATTGATTATCAATACGATTTTATACTTGCAGCGCGTGCCCAAGGATCTGTGTGCCAATTTGCCGCATTTGAAAATTTTGGATTTGCGCGACAACAAAATCACACAGCTGCCCGACGAGGTGTGCCTGCTGCGCAATCTGAATCGCCTGGATGTGTCCAACAATTCGATAAGTGTGCTGCCCGTCACCTTGGCCTCGCTGGCGCATTTGATCAGCCTTCAGGTGGATGGCAATCCCATCAAGACAATACGACGCGACATTTTGCAATGCGGCACAGCACGCATTCTAAAAACGCTGCAAGATCGCGCCCTGGCCAAAGGCCGTGAAGATGGCGGCGCTGAGGAAACGGCATGCAGCAGCAGATCAGCTGCGGCCAGTCAACAGCAACAGCAATTGCCCCCCAATATGACCGACAAGTGAGTAGTGGGCTCAGTGGGGGTACAGTTTTTCCATTCATCAGGCACTGATCCAACGACGCAGCAGCTACCAGCAGCCCGGTTGCGCCCAGTCGCCATTCATGCGCTGTCATTGCCAATGTCAATGCCAGCACTTTATGCAGCACCAGCACCAGCAGCATCAACAGGAGCAGCAGCATCAACAGCAGCAGCCGCATTGTGGTTTATACTATCCGCCGTTTAATGGGCAGCCAAAGTATATGCCAGAGGATTACGAGCAGCAGCAACAGGAGCAGCAACAATTTGGGCAACCCAACAACCATTATGCGCCGAACCAGCAGATGCCCTATCAGGATACATTTTTTAATGGCCATTATATGCCCGGCTATTCATCCATGACACCAGCTCATCAGGCTGCTTATAATCAGTTCAATCGTTGTGTTGTGCAACCCCGTTGGGTGTAGTGTATCACCAAGTTCCAACAAACAGCCTAGCATTCGTTTATTCTAGAGCTTTTCATATGCCCTTGTTGTTACAAAATCTCTTAACTAATAGTGTATATACATTCTTGATCAGCAGCAGATAGGGACATGTCCGTCTCTCTCTCAGTCTTAATGCAACTCTAATGTAGACGAACTTTGTTATGCTCCCAAGCATTAGGCAAATTCTAGTTAGCATCAGATAACTATATATCTTTTTTTTAATCTATTGCATTTTTGGCACATTTCCTATATGGCTGCAAGGGTATATAATCTTCGGCACAACGAAGATCAACTTATCTTTGCGATTTTGATTTAACAGCCTTTACTCATTTCTGTTTTGTATCTTACAGATACAAACTGCGTCACACGCGCACATTGGCAGTCAATTTGGAGAACCTCACGGATGTGCCGAGCCATGTCTTCGAGCTGGCCAGCGCGGAGAAGGTGCATGTGGTGGATTTTGCGCGCAATCAGCTGAGTGCTTTGCCTCCGGGGTAACTATAAATACTTTACATATATATGGGCTAACTCTTCCTTTTAGTTTGCAGCACATGTCCAATTTGGTAACGGAGCTTGTCCTGGCCCACAATGTCATTGCCAGTGTTCCAACTTTCATTTCCCAGTTTACTCGTATAACTTTTCTAAATTTGTCTAACAATGTAATTAAGGACTTGCCACCGGAATTTGGACTGCTCAACACGCTGCGCGAACTCAATATTGCCAACAATCGGTAGCTACTGCCATACAATTATAATAATTATTAACCATAAACAATGCCAACATTTGCAGCTTTGAGTTCTTGCCCAATGGCCTGTATGAGCTGCAGGGCCTGGAGATTCTAGTTGCCAGCGACAATCACATTAAGGCCCTGAACGTGGCCGGTTTGGAGGGCTTGCCACGCCTCAATACGCTCGATTTGCGCAATAATGATATTGAATATGTGCCGCCCATACTGGGAAATCTAACAAATATTACGTGAGTGCAGAGTACAGAGTATTGTGCCCGTCAATACATTATTCTAATTTTGTTCTCTTGCCTTTTGCAGCCACTTGGAGCTGGTGGGCAATCCTTTTCGCCAGCCGCGCCATCAGATCCTGATGAAGGGCACAGATGCCATTATGTCCTATCTACGTGATCGCATACCCACTTGAGAAGCAGCAACAAAGACGCATTATTATTTATTTATCTATAACTTAGCGCACAAATCTAAGCGCTAATTAATTTATTCATTTATTATTGTTGTGTTGATTTTGAGACAAAAGCTTAACCAAATTAAAGTGGCGCCCACACACACACACACGCACACTCGCACACACACAGCCAGACAATACAACCGGTCATGCGGCCAGTGTGTGTGTGACTGAGTGTGTGTGTGTGTGTGTGTGTGGGCGCCAGACGCGCGTAGTACCTTGTAGCATTTAACAAAGCACACACACTCACAAATTACCATGATCCGACTAGTCAGCATTTGGGTAACTCACAGTACGCACCTCGTTCAAACCTTGGCCAAAAAAGCTTGCAAAATAAAATATTAAACACTAAATAAAAATCAAGAACACTTCTCTCTGTATGACCGAAGACCATAATACCCTTGCAGATGTAACAAACGAAAATTTCCAATTAATTGTTTATACTAGCGATATGCATATATAGAAGAGGTCTTATGTTTAATATCGTAGTTCGATGTATATCAAATTTTGCCTCATTAATGCAGCTCAAACCGAAAAGGTTTTATAGAAGAAATTAAATTTCTTAATGATTGTTATAACAATATATGTGGCACACTTTTAATTTTCGAGCTTTAAAGTATGGAAAGTTTTTTCTAAAATAATTCGGTTTTTGGGACTTGTCTCGTATGGTGCTCCATTGTTGATAATAGCTCGTATGCGTTTAGCTTCCTTAAGGATATATAATAAAAAGTTGTTGTATACAATATTTAAGGATATTTTCAAAACTGGGAGACCAGAATAGCATCATATAGGCAGACGGACGGGCAGGGGTATAAAGACTCGAGTAGATTTGAGCTTATAAATTATACTGTATAATTCAGTTTTTGGGACTTGCCTGATATGGGACTCCATTGTTAATAATAGCTCGATATATAATAAAAGGTTTTTTTATACAATATTTAAGGATATTTTCAAAACTGGGAGACCAGAATAGAATCATATAGGCAGACGGACGGGCAGGGGTATAAAGACTTGAGTAGACTTGAGCTTATAAATGATACTCTATAATTCGCGAAAGTTCTCTTCAATATGTGCTAACATAGGTTTATTACCCTCTGCAAGGGTATATTGATGTCTTGTCTAATTATGCTCCACAACCTCGTTTCGCAGCCGTTTGGCCAGCGTGCGTCGCAGCTGCAGCGCCGCATTGTCAGCCTCATCCACGGACGCCGGCGGCAATTTGTCCAGTTCGACATTCTCGAGCAGCTGTTGTGCCACCTGGGCGGAACTGGGTCGTGCGCCTGGCTCCAGCTGCTGCGGCGTGCTGCGTGCGACGGTGTCCAGCAGCTGCTTGGCGCGCGTTTGCTTCTTGATCTCAACTATTTTGTCGCGCTGCTGGCGCAAATACTCCTGGCGCGAAACGACCTCATTGGGATCCACCTGATCCTCCCGCTCGAAGAAGAGATTCAGCCGCTGAAACTTGTCGTTGACCAGCTCCAAATTGGCCTCCTGCTCGGGCGTCAAAGCGGCCTCGGGACTTTCGAGCTCATCGGCCACCGTTCTAGCAATAAGTTCATCCACATCTAAATCGGACGCCGAATTGCTGCAAAAGGATTCATATGATGATTCGAAATGGAGCGCAATAAATGCCCACCTGGCCTCCGCGCCAGCTGCGCTATCCGTGTCCGCAAGCTCTGTTGAAGCACTGTGGGCCAGTTGATGCTTCTCGATGAGATCCAGCGCCTGCAGCTGCAGCTCCACATTGCGTTGCGTCATCATGCGTATAAAGATCTTCACATCGTTGGCGGCCCAGATCTACAAGAGCGGGACTTAGCCTGGTATTTAAAGCGGATTTGCAGCTGGGCCTCACCTGCTGAAAGAGCACCTGATGGAACTGGAAGGGATTCTCGCCGGGACCCTGTTGACGCCCCTCCAAACAGGCCAGCTCAAACTGTTCCGGCGTTATGTGCATCTCCTCCATAAAGCTGCCCAGCATAAAGTCCACCAGATTCTTGTATTCCTCATGGATTTGCCGTATCTCCTCGTTGCCCTCATCCAGCTGCAAATTGGGATCAAAGACTGCGGCAACAAAATGGTTTTTTTCAGTCCACTTTTCTGCACCTCATCTCGTATCTCATACCCAGAGACTTTTGCTCTATAAATGTCTGCAGCGGCGCATTCCAGACGGGTCCGTGGAGAAAACAGACCAGCGAATCGAAAACCCAGGAATCTTCAGAGGCCATATTTTACGGATTACGAATCGAATCGAAACTGAAATGTCGTCAGCGTTGGGCTGGCAATGTTTGGTCCTTGAAGTGGTTGCCATGGTTGCCAAAGGGCACCAGCCACACCCCGTCCCGCCCCGCCCCGCCCAGCGCAAAAAACAAAAGAACACATTGGAAAAACTTTGCAATTTATGTTTGTTTGTCTGTTTTTTTTGTTGTTGTTTTGTTTAAAAACTATTAAAAACTATGATTTTAATTATACTCAATCATAATATAGAGATGTTTTCAAATTATATATGTATGCATCGTATGTTTGTGTGTGAGTGTGTGTGTGTGTGTGTGTGTGAGAGTTAGGATTACAGGGTATTAGACGACAGCATATCATATACAAATACACATTTTATTTATATATTTAAATACTATGTAATAAACTATAGTTGGTTTTTATTCTTTATGCAAACGTTTCTTTTTTCTTTTCTCTCATTTACGTTTATTGTTGCACTTGCATTGAAAATCAAACCAAAAACAACAACATGGAAGGATATATTTATATTTTTTTTGTTTTGTTTATGTATTAAGTATGTACCTACACACACACACACACACACGCACACACTCGTTTTTCGCGCGGGGTGCGTTGCTCCAAAGGAAAATGGAAACCATTTCGCTTTTCGCTTGGGTAAAATAAATATATTAAAAGCTGCTCACATGCACAAATGGCAAATACGATTATTAACAAATAACTTTATTGTTTGTGTATATTATTCTTGTTGTTTTGTTGTTGGAGCTTCTTTCATATTATAATAGTATTTGTAAACTTAAAAAAAAAAAATCCTACATTGGAAAACGCAAGAAGACTTTTCTGTTTGTTATTTAGTTGTTGTTGTGGTTTTTTCTTTTATGTTATGCGTATTGTTTAAACCCATTTTAATTCTATTTTGTAATTATCATTATTAGTTTGTAAATGTTGTGTGTGTGTGTGTGTGTGTGTGGTTTTGTTTTTGTTGAATGCAAAATTGTGGTGCAGCATCTCGGTTGACTTAACAAATTAGAAAATATTTTGCTGCTTAGTTTCGTAAGGACAAGTTGTTGTTTTTTGCTAGAAAAAAATCTCCCCCGCCCCCTTTTTTTTTTGTTGTTGCTATTTTACAAATCGTCACACGCCTGTCAATCATAATCAAATTTCATAATTTATAAAGTAGCTTGTAATTCGATATAACGCTAAATTATATACAAGGTTTATTTAATTTATCCATTTGTATCGTTCAAGTGGGCATTTTACATATATGGCTAAATTTGTGAATGCGCAAAACAAAATTTGTTGAGTTGGCTTTGGGTTAAGTTCGTGGCATTCGAAAAGCAATTGTTTAACCTAATGGGAAATATAAGAAATTAAATATTATATAAATGTATTCAATTCGTATCTACAACAAAGTTTTGACCCGTTTAACACAACGTTCGAAGGGCCAAAAATTGTGGAAATACAAAATTATTAATAAAGTTTAAGTTTAACAACTAATTCCGAGTTAACTGAACGTTATGTTTACTTTATAATCTTAAGAAAAAGTATTTTAAGCATAGAGCAGTCAAATTTCATCAGATCAGGCGTATGTCTAAGACTTTTTAGAGAACCGCTGTTAGCCATATAACATAAACAGCAGTTGCTTAAAATATGTTAATTAAACATAAACAGCTGCTGTTATAACCAATCGCGGTCTGATTAACATCTGTGAGCCGTGTCGCAACATAAACAGCTAATCATTACAGAACTGAATTGTAAAATATTAACAGTTTCTGTTTTACATATCTGATTATGTTATAACATAAGCAGCTTCTGCTCAACATATGTTAATGTAGCAACATCAGCTTAACGGCTGTTATTTATGTAGCAACATAGACAGCATTAGCTTAACATCTGTTATTTAAGTAAATAGATTTACAGCCTGTTTAACATTTGACATACCAAAAAAGCATATAATTATAACAATTGCTTTCGAATTAGCCACAACTTATGATATTGCACAAAATATTTCGATACTCTTCCACACAACATCTACTAGCGCAGCCAACTAAACAAGCTTTGTTTTTTAGGGGGTCGTCTATCTGTGAGCTTAATGAGCGACAACTCAAGCACCGAACCTAAACACTCTTTTTTTTTTTTTTGCTGTCTTGCGCTGCTGCCGTTGTTCTTGTTATTTTAGTTTTAACTTCTAAATATATATATATATATTTTGGTTTCTTTTTAATGTTTTAGTTTTTATTTTTTTAAGCACACACAACGGCAATAAACGTTGTTTGTTCTTCTTCTTGATCAATAAGTGCGTTTTGCTATTGTGTGCACGTAATATATATATATATATACATATATATATATATGCATATTTATATATACCCTATAAGTTATATTCATTTTCATATGTATACATATATGTATATATACATATATATATAATATATATATTTTTTAATTTAGTAAAGTAAGATTTTATAATTTCTTGTTTTACTTTTTAGCATTCGGATTTGCTTTCTTTAAAATAAATGATTTTAGGCTAAAATTTAATTTTATATTTTTTGCTTGTTCTTCTTCTTACATGATCGCTTACAAGCAAAACGCCCCCCATTAACTGGGAGCCTTCCGAACTCTACCCGGGCTTTAGTTGTTCCTTGTTCTTGTTCGATCTTACATCGTACCGCTCTATGCTTGGCTGACAATTGTTGCTGCTGCTCCTCCGCCCACTCTTCAACCCTTGCATTCGCTGGTGAGTGTGTGTGTGTGTGTGTGTGGTCGTATGAGTGTGTGTGTGTGTGAGAATTGGGTGTGTGGTTGTGTATGTGTACTATCTTATAATTGATGCCGCTGTGCTAAACGCCCCTTACTATGCAATACGCGCGCGCTTTTGTGCTTGGGGCCCATCTGAGTCCTCGTCCTCCTCATAGTCATCTTCGCCAGAATCGCTCTCATAGTCCACCAGTCCCTTCATGGATAACAAGCATATTTTTATTTGGAGGCGGCTTTCACTTCTTCGTTCAGCTTACCTTTTTGGTCGCCTTGTCCGCCTCGCTGCCGCCCGTTGGCGATTCTGCGCTTAGCGCCGCCTTCTCCACATCCAATTTAAGCGCATCGCTGGCTTCTGTGGCAGGTGGCTGTGGCTGTGTCTGCGGCTGCGGCTCGTTGCTGTCCTCGCTGGCCACAGTTGTCGTTAGATTGGGCGTGCTAGTAGCAGCTGCTGCCGTCACCGAGGCGGCCATGGCTGTTGCAATCGTTGTCAAAAATTGAGATGCCGCCACGGCGGCCACTGTCGCCGAATCGCACAGTGCAGCGGCTGGCAAAGATGTTGGCGGCGGTGTTGACGACAACGTGGACGCTTCCATTGATGACGTGGATGATGATGATGACGACGATGACGATGACGATGATGATGAAGATAACGAAGAGGACGACGACGATGACGAGGATGCATTTGCTGCCGCGGCATTGACGGCAGACAGCACCATCTCCGGATTCTGTGGCACCACAGCGCTCAGCTGCTGCTGCAGCTCTGCAATCTCCGGCTGAGGCTGTTGCTGCTGCTGCTGTTGTTGCTGCTGCTGTTGTTGTTGATGCTGCAGTTGTTGACTTTCCAGCTGCGCCGCAGCAGCCGCATTCGATGTGGAGGCGACAGCAGCAGCAGCGGCCGCTGCCACAAGTGTGCTATTCAGGGACAAAGTTTGCTGTTGCTGGAATGGATGCTGCTGCTGTTGCTGCTGCAATGCAATGTTGGCAGCGGCGGCCAGCTGCACTGCGGCCTGGGCCTGCTCATCGGCGGCAGCGACGGCGGCGGCGTTGCTCGTCGCCTCGGGGCTGCTGCTGCTGCTGCTGCCACTTGCCGCCGACGCTGATACTGAGGTGGCAGTTGCTGTCGCTGTGGAATTCAGATTGCCCAACAGACCACCGCCGTGCGGTGATGTACTGTGCGGCGGCGAAGATTTTTGCTGCGCCGTCTGATTTTGTGTTTGCTGCGGGCCATTTTTTTCGCTGACGGCTGTGCACGAGGAGGCCAAAAGGTCAATGTTTATCCACAAATTCTGACTCATTAATCCACTTACATTTCATAACATTGTTATAGCTATCGATTTCCTCGGAAAAGTCATCATCATCATTAAACCACATCTCCTCCTCCTCCTCCATCTGGCGCTGATCGCGACGAAAACGATTGCCGCTGCGTATCATGGGCAAACTTCTATCGGATTTATGCCAGAGAGTATTATAAGTTATAAGCATCTGTGAGGGTAAATAATAGATTGCAAATTTACCCATCGGTGCGATTTTCCAGCTTGTCGCGATCCTTGAGCCGATCCTGGTATTGATCATAACGATTCTTTAGGTATTTAAATGTTTGCACATATTCGATTTCATCAAATATCTTGCTAAAGTTCTCCACGAAGTATACGCACAGCGTGCGTATATCCTCGAGTTTTATAAACTCAAATAGTTCCAGAATGGCCGATTCGAGCAGATTATAGCGACCATTGTTACGAATAAAGGCATCGACAACGGGCGCAAATAGATTGCACTTGACAATGTGCCTAAAAGCATCAACGAGTCAAGGAGATACAATTTAAAATCCATGATATTAGAAAACTGTCAAGCATTAAACACACCTGTTATAAAACTCATCTTTAAGTGCAATTATCTTGCGTAGCAGCCGCAGGGCGCCAAGTACAAGGAACGTATGTGTGCTCTTCATCAGCACCAGAATTCGTTTGAGGAGATCTTTTTGCAGCAAAAAATTCTTAATATGATAGCTGTGGTGTTCAACGCAAAACGACAAGATGTCCAACACAATGCCCAACAGCTGGGCCGTCTGATAATCTTCGTTCTGTGGACGATCCCCCATCGTATTGAGCATCAGAGGCGCTATTTCAACATAAATATATATATGATTAAAAACCTGCTCGATACAATCATATTTTGGTTGTTGGCCTATTTACCTACTAGCGTTTGGACGCTATACTTGTAGAAGAAGTTGAGGAAATCACCCTTCTCAGTCAGCATATTTTCCGGCTCGAGCAGGATCTTAATAATGCCCATCAACTGCACCGCAATGCCCAGCTCTGGTTCCGAATCGTTCAACATTTGTTCAATGGCAATGTTCAGCAACATTCGCTCCTAAAAAAACAACAATAAAAAATCAGCTAACTATGGTTAAATATTAACGACTCATTTCACTTACGCCCTCCGGCCGATTGGCTTGATTCAGTGTATAATTGCGCACCACCAACGGCGAGAACTCCACAATGGCCGTGAGTATGTCAATGGATGCCGACTTGGTTTTATTGTCGTTCATAACTAGCGTCAGCTCGAGGGCCTGCAATATGCCCAGACAGGTGAGTGTTTTGTAGAACGAATCCTTGCCTTGGGGCTGCAAGTTTTGTGCAAAATTGCAAAACTCTTTTAGAAATAGAACGATATCACGCCGTTTAACATCGCCAGTTGCCGGATCCGTGAGCAGGGTAAATAGGTCAAGCAGAAAACGTTCATCCTCCTGGATGAGCGTAACAATCTCAACTTTGTTGAAGAATATAAAACTTGATAACGTGTTCAACATATTATCCTCGACAAAGACAGACGGCGTAGGCAATATAATGTCCTGAATGTACTGCACTCGAAACGTTTGATGTATTTTGGCCAATAGATCCATGTTCTTGATGGGGACAGCTTCCCGAAACTTGGCCCATTGTTTGAGATATTGCCGATGCTTTTTGGGCTGTGCCACACTAGGATCATACTCCAGGCAGCCAACAACATCGAAGATGGTATCGTCCGCGAACATAATCTCAAAGAGCGCGTTCTTGTTTAGCAAGAAAATGTTCTTAAATATCTCGAAAAGATGATGCAACCCTTCCGTGTTATCGAGATCCTCGCAAACATGAAACAGATTCAAAAGCTTTTTAATGTAGTTCTCAGATTCCAGGGCCATGGAGAGCTTCTCCTTGCGCAGCGGCGTCGAAAGGCAACTTTGTATTGTCTCGGATATGTCCTCGAGCCGTGACAGCTCGCATGGCGGCAACTCAATTGGCGGTGCTGTATCCGACATATCCTCAAAACGTTCATCCTCCGACTCCTCGACAATGTCCTGCGTAATCTCCACGGAGGGATCTTTGCCCTGCACCTGTACACAGCAATCGGATATCGTATGTTGATCATCTAGGCGAATATGACATAGAGGAAATCATAATAAATACCTGACATATCTTCTCCCATATCTCATCACAACCGGCTTTCTCCTGAAAACTCAGCGCCAGATCAAAATTATCGCCCTCCGACCAGACAATCAGCGTATCCTGTTGCTTCTGGTAGGCGGTATCTGGCTGAATCTTACTCTCCAGCAATAAGGAACCATCTGATTCGGCACGAACCAGCAGCGAAGTGCCCTTGAGACGCTCCACATACGTGGAAGAGACGTGGCCAGTGCCACGATCATCCCATTGGCGCTCTGCATTCAGCGCATAAAGCTTAACACGTCGGCGGGTGTCAGTCGTCATGGTTTGGCCTTAGGTGTATGTGTGTCCTTCCCTCCCTTCTTTCTTTTTATTGACAATGTGGTGGTGGTTGTTGTTGTTGTTGTTGTTGTGGTTGCACAAAAAGTTCACGTTTAAAAACTTCTCTTAGTTTGTGCCTGCTATTTATTGTGGCTGGCTTGTAGCCGCGCTTGGGCTAGTCAACTAGACTAATTACAGTTAATTTAGTATATTGAATTTGAAATTCAAAGCATTCAACTAATCTCTACACTTGACTTGCATATCCATGTTATGTGTTTATGTGCTGTGATCTGTGGTCTGCGCACAACAAAACTGCAAAAAACAAAATGAAAATAAAGAAACAACAAACATTTTATTGATCCGTGCACTAATTAGAATTGTTAGCATTAATTCGTTTTATTCGTAGTTCATGGTCTTGAATGTTGGAGTCATTTAACGAAAAGTATCGATATTTCTTACAATGATACACATTTCCACTCATAATCATAACGCAATCAATCGATTTGAGTCAACATTTTTTTATTGTTTTACAGCACTGTGCAAAAAGCATAATGAGTAATTCCATACATATGTATATTTATTATACTCATACACACATACACACACAGATACGATAACAATAAATGCGTATCACAACAGAAGCTGCAAAAAGCGTACACCATGAATGAAATTGTGAAAGCTAAAACGTAGCTGCTGCATTTATGCATGTATCTGACTGTGTATGTGTGTGTGTACGTGAGTCTGTATGCATGTAAGTGTTCGTGAGTCTGTATGCATGTGTGTGCACAGCAATATAAACTATTCGGCAAAGCGAAATGCCAAAAACTATTCTTGCCCCAGTCTGTTTACAAACAGCAAGAAAAAACACGTATTCTCTAGCCGAGAGTGTTCGAATAGAAAATACCGTGTACCATGCCATGAGAGAGCGACGAAATGGGCAAATGAGTAAGAACTAAAACACCTCCCTTTTGAGAGAGAAAGTAAGTGGCAAAGATCAGCTATGGGAGAGCAGTGCTCTAAACTTTAATAACTCTACTTAAATTGACCCGAACATAATCCTTCTGTCTGTAACATACATAGCTTATTGAACTTAAATTTAGCCCGTTTTAAGTGGTTAACTGGGACTAAGAAACACAAAAACTTTCAAATCTCTCCACAACGCATCATGCATTTGTGTGTGAGTGATTTCTGAAGTCTACACCATTGCAAACTATTATCGCGCTTTCGCCAAAGCGACCCACAACGGCGACGAGTGCAAACACACGCGCGACAAAAACAAACAAAATGAGTGGTCAGACCCAAAAAGAGAGCAAACTGAGCACAAGAGACTGCTAGTACATATACATTGTATACGTATCTAGCCAGTGGGTGACGGCCGGCTAGCGGGGGCAATTTGCGGCGACTAGATTAGATTATCAAACACACATACACACACACACGCACAAGCACTGTTGCTACAACGTACGCCGTACGCACAAGGCAACAAAAATCAATGAGCAAGTGTAAAATAAAGTGTGTAAACAGAACAGATATTTAGCTCATAGTGAAAATATAGAGGCAAGGTCTACGTCATCGTTAGAGGAAACTGAGGAAATCCACCTTTGGCCAGTATTCGAAAACGTTTTAACACAATTTGCAACGGCGCCAAGGCTGCGCTTAAAATGCGTGTTGAGTTTTTTCAACACACATACAGATAGGCCTCGTGTGGGCGAAAATAAACATTCATGATTATTTATAAATAATAATTATGTTTATAATAAATTTGTTTTAATAGAATTAATAACAAAGGTATTTTTGTATATTATGTAAAACAATGTGAACATTTCAACAATTGCAATGCGGCACCCCTCACCGGCCTCGCTGATAAGGCGCACTCTAATCTACGTGAATATTTCGTCTCTCACGAATGTGTATCAAAACAAAAGCAGCAATTAAAAACAAATGCTAATACACATTGTGGCCATTTACGCAACCAAACGTTGTTTTCAAACTCAATAAAAGAGTTAAAAATAAATACTTAGAACAACACACATACATGTATGTGCATGCGTGCATTTGTGTGTACATATGCAACTAGGTTCAATGTCTGGCAAAACTGCGTGGGCAGCCAACTCGTCTAGGATGATCATTGATAAACATCAAAAAAGAAATTGGTCAAAGGCGATAATTGCCACATGCTTCGCCGCAAAGAGATACGAAAAGAAAAAAAGTACACATTTGTCGCCCAGCAACAGAGTTCAAGTTAAAGTAAGGCCCAGCCACTGAGAGCGCAGCGCTTATTGAAATGGGAGCGGGAGAGCGGGCGCTGATGTCGCTGTCAAAAAAAGGCAAGCACAATGGCAATAAAACCAAATGAAAAATATTGACGCTGCCTGCAAGTGTCACGAAAAACGGGGCGAGGCAGGAGGCGCAAGCTATGGAGGTGTGTGTATGTGTGATGCGTACGCGCAAACGAAACAGGAAAAATAATATATAAGCCAACAGGAAAGCCAAAGCATACAGGACAATGACAATACGCCATGAATACGCTGGGGACGCACCAATACGTACATATGTGTGTGTGTTCGATGGATCTCACACAATGGCCAGCAAAAGCTGTAAGAAAACGAACGCGTTGTATCTGCTGCGATGTATGCAGAATACGCGCGCATATGTATGTGTGTTGTGTGTTTTGCATGCACATTTTGGGGTGGGCAAAAGACTATGAATATGAGCATGAATATGCATGCATGTATTTTTATGTTTATACGTATGTGTGTGTGTGTATGTCCCGTGTTCGGTAATTCGAAAAAGCAAGCAATTGCGAAAAAAATTTGCTTTTGACATTCAATTTTCTGAAACGCAAGTGTTCGAAATACACACACGCAAACACACACACAACAACCGTCTGGTGAGTACATCGTTTTTCGGCCCGTTTCTTTTGCTTTCATTCACTAAATTATTGCGAATGACAAGCACAAAACAGAATTGCAAAAAAATTGCAGCGTATATCTGGCAAAGAGCATGGCTAAAGAAAAATGCCGTCTACACTCGCACTTTTTCACGCACACAGACAAACACTCACGAAAACACACATCGTCTCGACAAAATGTGAATGACGCATTCATTATTTGCAATGATTTTGTTTTGATTTTGCGATAATCCGATTTCATTTGATAAATTTTGCATTAGAGGAATATGTTTACGATTTAATTAAACGCACAAAAGATTTATAAAAACAACGGGTACACACCACGCAAACCACACAGAGCCGTCACGTACACAATGAAACAGAGAAGTACGGCGAGCGCAAAATCCACCACAAGTAACAGCGGCAATCCTCAAATTCAACACACTACAAAATAGAAGAACCAAAAACTCAACACGCCGTTTTGTTGCATAAAGTACGAGTTCGAGTCCATAAATAAAAACATTTTTACCTCAAAATGTGCAATGTTCACGCAGTCGCAGGACCTATCCAAAGTTTATAGGTAGTTTATTGTTTTACGAACGCGTTAAATACTCGTATTTAGAAGTAATCAGAATCAAGTATAGTTACACACGAAAAATACACATGCACACCTAAACGCACATACACACACACACGCACACAAGCACACACACATAAGCCGCAAGAGGGCAACAGCGGTGTAAGCGAAAGCGCGAGGGGTAATATTGAATCTTGACCAAAAAATGTATGCACTCACGTTGCAATTCCTTGTTTATGCTGTTGGCAGCGCCTTTTCAGAATTGTTCAAAGTATATACAATTTGCGTTTGCGCATATTTACTGTTTCCAACACCTTATTTACCATATATTTACGGTTCAATTATTATTTTAAAATTTTTCGCGGAACGGACGCTGTTCCAACCGAGACGAAGACGATTTTGTGCTGTGCAGACGCCATATTGTTTTTTGTACACATCGATAAAACAATCGATATGCATCTTTAAATCGATGCACAAATGTAAACAAAAGTATGACCAAACTGTCAAACAGTGCTCAATAATAACTGCCGTTAGTGTTGTAGGCTGCCGTTTGCCGATTTTATTTATTTATTTGTTTGAGCAAATCTATAATGGAACCGAGTCGGCACCGGTACTTTAGCAAGACTGCCATATATAAAGGCAGCGTGGTGGAGGATTTAGAGTTAACCGTCCAGAAATATGGCGAAGACGTTGTTCGCATACAGTTATTAAACCGTTTGCATGGCGAACAATGTAGAGCGCAACTGAAACGTTTCTTTGGGCTATTGGGCTTGGCGACTATTTATTTTGGCATTGCTCTGGCACTAGGCGAAGGCCCTACTAGGATGGCTCAAGCTCATATACTATATCCGGGCCTGCTATGGCTTGCTCTGTCTGCTTCGATATTCCGCACCACGCTCCAACTAGTGCACTCAGAGAAACTCTTCTATAGCTGGGACATGGCTCTGCAGACGGAAACGGTGCGCACCTTTGGACGCCAATCGGTGCTCTGCGTACAACGCGGTCATCTCCACGACATGGTTCTCAATGAGGTCATAGAGAATGTGAGATTGGCTTGCGCCCTAATATTTTTCTTAAATTTATTAAAAGGTTTTAATTCACTTACAGCTAGATGTAAAGTACATGCTAATACTGCGCACAAAGGGCAGCATGTTCAAAGAGCGGCCCATTATACCGCTATTCAATGTGAGTGCTGCGAGGCTTGTTTCCAATACGGATAACTTAATAAAGTTTTATTTATTACAGAATTTGTCACCTTCCTTTGAGTGCCTGCAGCATATTCAGCGCATTTTACATGGCTACTGGCTTAATAATAGCAGGGATAGATCGGATCACGCTTGCAGCAGTGATATGCCATCAACGGTTGCATCGTAGTATTCCATTAATTTGTCCAGCTATAGTTAAGACAATTTAAATTATTCTTCAATTTCAACCAAAGAACTAATATATGTACGCTTACCTGTAGCATGGGTTTGTATTCTTCCTGCTCTTTGTGCTGTGGGGGCAGTTTGGGTATGTTTAACTCCACATCAACACGGCTGAAATCACCGCGTATCTGAGGATAAAAAATTATTATCATTATTAATATATAACAAATAAGAAAATTGACTACCAAATTATTGAGCTCCGCTGTGTAGGCATGTTTGGCCATTTTTGGGTAGAATTCCAGGTAGATGGCTTTGCAAAAATTTAAATCTTCCTGTGCCTTGCGCAAGGTATGCACTTGCTGTAATGTTAATTCTGAGCCAAGTTTAAAAAGTTTTTAATTAATTGTTTGATATTTATTTTCCTTTACTCACTTTGCATGGCGTTTATTTTGTTTGGCGTCTCGTTTTTTTCGAATGCTCTTCAGTGTTGTAAAACGATACTGTTTTGAGTCAGCTAACAGCACTGCGTCGTCAGCTGACGTCATTTGCCCATAAAAATAAACAAGATTACATTTTGTTTATGTGCCAAAAATTGAAATAAAAACATTGTGTGAATGATCATATAAAAATTGTAACGCCGGCACAATCCCAGCCCCCACAAATATTTACCGAAAATGCAAAGGAGGTGCATTCATCAACCCTATTTCAGATTTTAACAATAACAATTGTAAGTCGACTCATTTAGCTAAAAATACGCACATATACGGGCGTGTCAGCTGCCGCAGCATGGTCAAAGCATTTGCCTAATTTGTTCGCATCAACCCGTTTTCAGTTTCCTCGTTGCGCGTCACCTCCTTTTCTCAACATGAACCGTTCGGATTCTATACCCATACGGCGTGATCGTTCCTTTGACAGCGTTCTCAATCGCTTGCTAAGGATGCGGTCACAGAATCATGAGAGCTTTCGGGCTGCCATGTACAATTTTCTAATTGCAGCGGGCGTGGCTGCTTTTGTGGCGGTCTGCTTCATCCTGGGCCCCTTTGTGCGTCCGCTGCTCTGGGCATTCCTCATGGGCGCCGTGCTGTTCCCATTTAAGCGCAAGCTGGCCGAACTCCTCAACAATTGGTTTCAGCGCCTGGAGGAGCGCGATTCGAATGTGATCGTCTCCATTTGCCTGGCTCCACTGGAGGCTACCGAGCATTGCGGCCGTTTGCTAATCAACTGGCTTTGCCAGCACTGGCAGCTCCTCATAGCCGGCTGCGGCGTCGCCGTCTGCGTTAAGCTGCTCGTTTTGTATGCGCCCAAAGGCTGTCTGTTGTTGCTCTGGAACTGGCTGACCTTTTCGCACGGCCTGTTTGTGCGCATCATTGGCTTCCTCAATGTCTATGTGGTAAGTGCTTTGACATACTCCTCGCAGTCGCATCTTAAGCCCACGCTTCTCCACACTTGCAGCTCATCGTTTTGATTGCCATGTACTTGTCCTCGGTGCACTTTCTCTGGAAACCGGAGAATAGCGCACGTTTTGTTGTCGCCGGCCAGTCCATGTGGATAGCCATTGCCGGCTATTTGTGCAGCTTTCTGGGCGCGTTTCAGGTGCCTGTTTTCCTGCTGGTCATGGGCTACGTGCTTGTCTCCACAGCGTATCATCTGCAGACGAGCGATGATCACGACTCCAGCTCCTATTTGGAGCGCCTGCAGAAGCTGTTCAATAAAAATGATTTCGAGAAATCTCTCAGTAATCTCAGCATTTGTCGCCGAGCTGCTGGCGAACCGACACTGCAATCAGATGTGGAGGACATTTCGTTGACTGACACCATAGATTCCGAGGACACATTCGATGCCAAGCTGGCTGAGGAGCCAGAGGTACACCAGAGCGATACCTATTTTAAGCTGTTATTTTATGCCTGCCTGGGCACCTTTCTGTATCGGAACATTTGGATGTTTATACTGGCTGCGGTGCCGGTGTTTCTGCATTTATTGTACACAGCCGGCACCTATACGGGCCTGACACAGTTTGTCTGCGGCAAGCTCGACGATGCCTATCGGGGCGTGAGGGTAAGTCCATTGAAGTTGAAGAGTTTCCCTTTATATTAGCCTAACTTATCTTCCGCAGTCGTGGGCCTTGGAGCATCATTCAGCTGTGCTGCCGCTGTGCCTGCCCGGCGTTTTGGAGCTCAACTACAAGATCAACTGCATTGTGCGGGATTCGTTGAAGTCATCTGTGGAGTCTGTTACATCCATTTTAATGATCATACTCATGCTGCTCATCATCATATTTCTGAGTGTTTTCTTTTGCGTTAACATCTATTCAGAGACGATTGAGGTCGCTTATCTGGGCAAAGATCTAATTAACAAGACAATCACAGATCGTCCTGAACTAATTGATATATTGCCCGCCAATATACAGGCGTCCATTGATGATGCGCTCGATAATGCGCATCATTATGGCCGCCGTAAGATTGAGACCTATATAGATGATTGGCTCGCCGATGCCGATAAGGTGCATGCCACCAAATTGAAGGAGCAAATTCTTGACGTGTGGGATCGGCTCATACAGTATTGGATTGACTTCAACAAGGCGGGCACCTCGTACGGGCCGCGTGTGCCCACGGATGCGTTAAAGAGCACCTTCGGTGAGATTGTCGATAATCCAGGTAAATCCGCGACGCGGTTTTTTCGTTTTCTTATTTATTTTGTACACTTGTTTCATTTGTCCAACGTTTCTGTATGTTTTGAGTTTTTGAGTTGGATTTTTTTGTAGAGCTCCTAACACACCTCAGTTTGGCCTTAACCAACCATTCTGTATGATTTTTCGTATGCGTCAGAACAAATAACTCATTACATGTTGCCTTTGCTAACCCATGGTTTCATTTTAACCAAGGACATTTTAAAGAGCTAGTTTTAGTGGCAAAACAGGGCATCATCGGCTGGGCACAGAGCAATACGCAGACCATACTCGAGGTTGCCGAATCTCTATGGCACATCATACGCACGAATCTCTCGATGATAATGGGCGTTACGGGCGAGATACTCTCGCTGCTGCTATCCGGCGGACAGGCGTGCATCGAATTCATATTGGATATGGTAAGATTCAATGGATCGCACACAAATCGATTACAGACTAAATCCCCTTTCATCCACAGATTGTGTTCTTCACGGCCTTGTTCTATCTGCTGTCCAGCAGTCAGGAGAAGTATGCGCCCATGCAGATCACCAAATATATGGGCTACTCTGCGTCGGGCATTAAAGTCGCGGATGCCTTGGAGAACTCAATTACGGTTGTGCTCGTCTCCATGTTCAAGTGCTCCACGTTTACGGGTCTCTTCACCTGGCTGGTGCATACGGTGTTTGGCGCACGGATTGTCTTCCTGCCCTCCGCTTTGGCCGCTTTGCTGGCGGCAGCTCCATTTTTGGGCAGCTACTGGTGTGCGGTGCCTGCCTTTTTGGAGCTCTGGCTGGCACAGGATCGCTTCTATGCGGGATTGATACTGTTTCTCTTACAATTCTTTGTGCCCTCGTCCTTTGAGACCGCCATCTATGCGGACATTAAGGGGTAAGTGGGTCATATCATGGTAAAAACGCACACAACTAAGCCCAATCCTTGCAGCGGGGGTCATCCCTACCTCAATGGCCTGGCCATAGCGGGCGGCATGTACTGGATTGGCTGGCAGGGCGCCATCTTTGGCCCCCTCATGCTCTGCTTCTTCATTGGCCTCTTCGAAGTGGCCACCCTGGCCATGCGTACGAACCAGGAGCCCAGGTATGTTTGGAGCTAGTTTTTGCATGCAAGTTAAGAATTTTATTTATATCGAAAACTCTGCGGCTGAAGAATTTGAGTAAGTCATTGTTTTAGTTTTTATAATTTTAAACTGCACCCCTTGATCTCAGAGTCGGGCAATCTTGACTAGAGCACTCCTAATTGTTGTTTTTCCTTGTATTATATTTACCCTACGTTAGTTTATATCGCTAAACATTAATAATAAGTTGTAATAACAAATTGTGTTATTTGCAGACGCAGCTCGGATGAGGAGACGCGCAACACGTGAGTCGTCCGCATGGCTTCAACGGATCTTGCTCCACAACTGCGAATTTCTTTCAATACTCTAAGTGCAAATCTAACAAGTTCCTGAACTTGTCTGCCCAACTAACTAACTAATGAATGTCAAGAATTAGCCGAGCTAAGCAAATTTTTCAGTTTTCGAGTTACTTTTCCTTTTTTTTAGTATTTGATTCGTCGCTTTTGTTTTTATTTTTGTACTAAATTTTTGAGTATGCAAACAATTGATTCCGTCACTAAAAGCTGTGCATTAAACCTAATGTATTTAACTAATGAGTTCTTAGATAAGTTTATATACCCTTGCTAAGCCTTTATGTAACTTACATTTGCTGTGGCATAGGCGAATAGTGTATACACTACATCACTTTATTTAATCTCTGAACAGGTCCAATAATCTCTTAATGTCTCGCCAGTTAGTCTTAAAAATAATTCACTGTATTTATTATACATATATAAAGGGAGCATAAACAATAATTGTCTATAAGCGCTTGCCAAGGGTATATAAGCTTCGTTGAGAGCGTTCTTAGCTTTCTAGTTTTAGTAATTATATCACAAAACTCTTTTTTTTGTTTTGTATAAAGAGGCAGTTATTTTAAGCCTGGCTCTAAAAACCGTCAACCGGTTTCCTCATGCTCGTTCGTCGTACCTAACTTTGTGCTCGCTACACATGTGATTTGTTTAAGCTTATGTTAAAAACTTTATTGCAAATAAATGTCATTACATACTAACAAATACAGAACATTACAGTGCTCGCTCGCTAATTGGAACCGAAGTGCAAAAAACTTTAAAAATTGCAAATAACAGCTTAAAGTGGCATATAAAAAACTGCAGAAATATAAAAACTTTTTTTCTAATTAATACTAATTTTAAATTCGAGACGTTTTTATGTCTAAACAATTCTATTTAACGAGTGAGCGCTGTATTAGAGCCCGGTTAATTGTCCAATTCTCATTTTAGTCCAAAACTTGATTCATTAAACGACAACAACGAGAAATTCCCTTTTGATGGGAATAAAGTCGAAAAGGCAACCGAAAGCAACAAGAATGTTGCCGCCACGCCCAGTTGCAGGGAAAAGCGTGCGGGAAAACCTGTTGTGATGAAAATTATAACCAGAATGTTGCAGCCGTTGGACGCGCTGAAAAGCAGTTAAAAAATTTGGAATTTCGTTTTTTATTGTATGCAAAATAACGGCACTTTTGATGTTTTAATATAAATGTTGGTACTTTCTTTTAATTGGTGAATTGATTCTTGAAGGTGAACTCCGGATGCTGCTCCACACTGCAAGAAATTAGCGTTAAAGTTTGCTTATTCGATAAGGTTTATGATTTCCCGAGCTTACCCGCGGAAAAAGGAAAAGTCGCAAATGCGAATGTTCTTGTCCAAAGCCGACAGCCTGGCCACCTCCTCCGCGCTCAGCTGGAAGTCAAACACATCCAAATTTTGCTTGAGACGCGCCTCGTTTGTGCTCTTCGGTATGGCGACGACGCCCGTGTCGATGATCCAGCGCAGCAGCACCTGGGCGGGTGTCTTCTTGTGCGCGGCGGCAATCTCCTTGACCTCGGGTATGTCCATCAGATCCGGCAAGTCGCGCACGATACCGGCGGCAGTATTAAAACTGGCAATGCCCTTGGAGCCGAGCGGCGAGTAAGCGGTAACGACCACGTTCTCCGCCTTGCAAAAGTCAACGAGATCACGTTGCTGCAGATAGACATGATGCTCGATCTGATTGTTGGCCGGACGTATTTTGCAGTTCTGCAGAAGACGTGCCAGCTGCTCCTTGCTAAAGTTCGAGACGCCAATCGATTTGGTCAAACCACTTGCGACCAGTTTCTCCATTTCCGCCCAGACGGCGACATGATTGGTCGATTTGTCCACCTTAACGCGACCCTCATCGTCAAACTGAAAGCTGCCATCCGGATTGATGAATAGGGTGAAGGGTGTGTGCACCAGATACATGTCCACATAGTCCAGCTGCAGATCGGCCAGCGACTGCTTAATGGTGGGCTCCACCTCATGCGGGCGATTAGCTGAGGGAAATAAAAGGATAATATTGGAGTGTACTTATTTATGGAGAGTGCCTCACCAATGGGCGGCAATTTGGTGACGATGTATAGCTCCTCCCGCTTTACTTTGCCCGCATCCAGCCAGCGCTTGAGTACGCGTCCGATTGCCTTCTCATTGCCGTAGACGGGCGCTGTGTCGATGTGTCTATAGCCCGCCGCCAGGGCGACATCCAATGCGGTTTCGATTTCGTCATCGGGTGCCTGTGTGTGTGTGTGTGGGAATTGGAGTGATTTTAAGATTGCGGTTTAATATATTAATACCTATTAAGTGCAGTTGAAGAGGTTATAAAATTGGAACGATGTCTCTTTATGTTCGCCTGCTTATCTTCCTCTAGGTAAAATAGTTTCTATGTAGAACTCGGCCGGGTCGGACTACTATATCATAGAGCTTGCATTACTGTTGCTCGAAGATTAGGTCTTGTACAGATTTCGTAGCCAAAATCAGAAATTAAGAGCTTTAATATTCTTCTGACTAAATCGGGATATTATAACATAAAGATAGTTTGCTTATATATAGATAATATAAGGGTAAGGGTATTTAGTGTTCGGCGTACTCCAAACAACTCTACGTTCTTGTTATTATCTCAAGGGTCTAGTCTGTTGGTGTATCTTTGAATTGCCCGCAATAACAGTTGCTTGTCTGTTCTGCTCTTGAATATGTGGAGAAAGTCGACCCATTGTACTTGTCCCACAAAGATTCGGTTTGTTTACAGTCAACAAGAACCGGTCCCTGGGCAAACTTTTATGAAGCCCCCTTCAACTCTCCTCCAAATAATCAATATATATATATACTTATGTATATGCATATGCATACATATGTATTTATAAATATTGTACGGAGCATATTTGCATAAACATATATACATATATATATACATACATATAATTAAAAAAAGCTGATTAATCATTACCTGCCAAGTGCCAATGCCGATGACGGGCATTTTTTCCCCGTTGTTGAGAGTCACGAACTTAGTGCAAGCCATTATTAATTAAAATAATTAAAAAAATTGCCACTTGTTGAGTTTTAATTTAAAGACGCGATATCAACAGATAACACAACCGCTCTGATTGAATATTCCAAGTGGAATAAATGAGCGTTCAGCTTTGCCGGCAAGTACCAAAGCTTTTAAAGCTTTTGAGTAATGCACTGTGGGCCTCATCGTGTGGTTTCGAGCACAAAACTTTAAGTTTTGTATGCAAGAAAATAATTAATTCTGCCTGACACTTTCTTCTACCGTAATTTGATGTGCGTCCAGTTAGCATCTGTTATTTAGCGTTGATCTTTGGAGCCTGGTGTCGGAACCGGAATTAAATATAACGTGCATTTCGATTCATTATCTGTGAACAATCAATGTAAATATAGGTAAAAATATGTTGTGTAGGTATAAATATGTATAAATGTATTTTTATGTTGGACAGAGAATTCAGTAATTGGTACAAGCTGCTCTGCTGGCCATTTTCTATGAAATAAGTTAGTAGAATTCTAATTTTGTACTGTCATTGTTGTACGGGTTAGCAACATTGTTCATGCACTATGTATTTTTAAGGTTATCTACGTTAAGCTCAAGGCTTTAATCGATCTGGAAAAGAAGATATTTAAAGATTGGTAAACATTTATTGTAAGCCCTTTTCTTGTTTATGTTAAAATCTGCAACTAAATAAATAATAACAGAAAAATTATTAAGATTTTTATAATGTTGCTTAAAGTCTATTTGAAACATTTCTTAGGAACGAATCACGTTAGTGATTCCGGTTCCGGTCCCGCTTCAAAAGTTCCAAAAATCGACACAAAGTGATCCATGTTATGTTAACTCTTTTATTGGCCTGTAAAATAACAGGTGGTTCAATAAACATCTGTTAAGGTAGAAGATGCAGAACAAATATCGTGCTTACAGAAGAAGAAATAAAAATAAATAGAATTTAACAGTTTTGTATAGAATGTTGCAGGCGTTGGACTTGATAAAAAGCAGGTAAAAACTTGGGTTTTATTTGTATGCAAAATAACGGCACTTTTTATGTTTTAATATAAATGTTTGTTTTTTCTTTCAATTGGTGAATTGATTCTTGAAGGTGAACTCCGGATGCTGCTCCACACTGCAAGAAATGAGTGTTTAGTTTTGTTATTGGATAAGGTTTATGATTGCTGAACTTACCCGCGTATAGCGGCAAAATCACAAACGCGTATGTTCTTGTCCAAGGCCGACAGCCTGGCCACCTCCTCCGCGCTCAGCTGGAAGTCAAACACATCCAAATTTTGCTTGAGACGCGCCTCGTTTGTGCTCTTCGGTATGGCCACGACGCCCGTGTCGATGATCCAGCGCAGCAGCACCTGGGCGGGTGTCTTCTTGTGCGCGGCGGCAATCTCCTTGACCTCGGCTATGTCCATCAGATCCGGTAATTCGCGCACGATACCGGCGGAAGCATTGAGCTTGGCCATGCCCTTGGAGCCGAGCGGCGAGTAAGCGGTAACGACCACGTTCTCCGCCTTGCAAAAGTCAACGAGATCACGTTGCTGCAGATAGACATGATACTCGATCTGATTGTTGGCCGGACGTATTTTGCAGTTCTGCAGAAGACGTGCTAACTGCTCCTTGCTAAAGTTCGAGACGCCAATCGATTTGGTCAAACCACTTGCGACCAGTTTCTCCATTTCCGCCCAGACGGCGGCATGATTGGTCGATTTGTCCACCTTGACGCGACCCTCGTCGTCAAACTGAAAGCTGCCATCCGCATTGCCGAGTAAGGCAAAGGGTGTGTGCACCAGATACATGTCCACATAGTCCAGCTGCAAATTGGCCAGCGACTGCTTAAAGGTTGGCTCCACATCATGCGGCCGATTAGCTGAGGGAAATAAAAGGATAATGTTGGATTGTACTTATTTATGGAGAGGGCTCCTCAGGCTTACCAGTGGGTGGCAATTTGGTTACAATATACAGCTCCTCCCGCTTTACTTTGCCCGCATCCAGCCAGCGCTTGAGCACGCGTCCAATTGCCTTCTCATTGCGATAGATTAGTGCTGTGTCGATGTGTCTATAGCCCGCTGCCAGGGCAAGATCCAATGCGGGTTCGATTTCATCATCGGGCGCCTATGTGTGTGGGAATTGGAGTGATTTTAAGATTGAGGTTTATTATATCAACACCTCCTAAGTTCAGTTGAAGGCGTTATAATTTGAAACGATGTCCCTACAAACATATAACATACATATGTGTATATGTGTATGTAAACCGAATGTTCGTTTGCTTATATTTTTCTATGTAAATTAGTTTCACTGTCAAAGCCGGCCGGACTACTATATCATAAAGCTAGCATAGGTACTGATGTTCGAAGATTATGTCTTGTATCTACAAGATTTCATACATATGTATGTGGCGATCTGGCATTACAGAAATTTATACTTATTATGAATTTCACAATATTACGAAAAGTAAATACAACACATTCTAGATCGAGATTCCTGCTGATTAATGATTACCTGCCAAGTGCCAATGCCGATGACAGGCATTTTCTCTCCATTGTTGAGTGTCAAGAATTTAGTGCAAGCCATTATTAATTTCCACTTGTTGAGTTGAATATTAAGAAGCGATAACAACAGCTAACACAACTGTTCTGACTGAATATTCCAAGTGGAATAAATGAGCGTTCAGCTTTTCCGGCAATATATAGACAGAGAGGGCTTTTGGAACAAAAGCTCTTTTTCAAAATACTTGATGCAAGATACCGACTGTCTATTACTTATGTATGTTTAAATCTGAAATTCTAAAGGAAGAAATCTACCAAAATTAAAAATTCATATTTTATAAGTTTACTTAAAATGTATATTTGAAAATGTATTAGGAGCGAAAACAAAATCGTGAGTGTTTCCGGTTCCGCTTCAAAAGTTCCAAAAATCAACGCAAAATGATCCATGTTATGTTAGCTCTGTTATTGGCCTGTAAAATAACAGCTGGTTCAATAAACACATCTGTTGGCGTAGAAGAAGCAGAACAACTATCGTGCTTACGGAAGAAGAAACAAAAATAAATACAATTTTACAGTTTTGTAAAACTTAACAATAAAGCGAATAATTTAACTGGCGCCATGGCTCATTACAAGGGTGCCGCCAGCGAGGCTGGGCGAGCTGCACAGCTGATGAAGAAGCGCGAGATCCAACAGCAGGAGATCGAGTTTCGGAAAAAGAAAATTGAGGAGGAGCTGAAGCTGGATAAGATTGAGAACAAGTTTGCGACACACTACGATGCCGTGGAACAGCAGCTCAAGTCGTCGACCATTGGCCTGGTCACGCTGGATGAGATGAAGGCCAAACAGGAGGACATCGTGCGGGAACGTGAAAAGAAACTAGCACAAAAGAAGGATGAAAAGGATCGGGAGAAACAGCGTGCACTGGAAGCCATACAAGCTGAAAAAAACAAACAGAAACGACAAATACAGGCGTTATCCTTTAATCTAGACGACGACGAGGAGGAGCAGGACCAAGACGAAGTTGAGCTGGAGGAAAACATATTCGTGAAGCCCAAGGCAGCCAAGTGGACCGAGATACAGCAAGATGTCGCGCCGGTCAAGAAGAAGAAAATATGCAAAAATCCCGATGTGGACACGTCGTTTCTGCCAGATCGCGATCGCGAGGAGCAGGAAAATCGATTGCGCGAACAACTGCGTCAGGAATGGGTTATGCAGCAGGCCGAACTCAAAGACGAAGACATCTCAATCACATTCAGTTACTGGGACGGTTCCGGCCACAGGAGAAACGTGCTCATGAAAAAGGGCAACTCAATCTATCAGTTCCTGCAGAAATGCCTGGAGCTGCTGCGCAAAGAGTTCATCGAGCTGAAAACCGTGATGGCCGATCAACTCATGTACGTCAAGGAGGATTTGATATTGCCGCATCACTACTCCTTCTACGACTTCATTGTGACCAAGGCACGCGGCAAATCCGGGCCGCTCTTCCAGTTCGATGTGCACGACGATGTCCGCATGATAAGCGACGCCTCCGTCGAGAAAGAGGAATCGCATGCGGGCAAAGTGCTGCTGCGTTCATGGTATGAGCGCAACAAGCACATATTCCCAGCCAGTCGGTGGGAGCCATATGATCCCACCAAGTCCTACGACAAATACACAATCAAGGATAAGGATAAAGATAAGAGCAAAAAGTAAATCTGATCCTCTTAAATGCAGTCCCATTTTACATACAAAATACATTTATTGAAATTCAAATTCTCTTTTACTGTTTTCAACACTGGCAGCCAACTGATCCCGCCTGCATACACGCATACATAAAAATTGTTCCCAAATTAAATTCCAAAATAAGTGTTGCATGTCCGAATGATCCATAGCTTAATTTTTCTTTTGGGCTTGTATTGAATGTTCTTAAGAAAAAACAATAAAAATTATAATAAAACAATACATTTATAAATGTACATTAACAGAGCTGCAACATTGCGATGCAGAGGGTTAATACTGCTATGTGCAGCTTGAAACACTGTTGATGTTTTGCAGCACTGTTACTGTTACAACATCTGACCACAGCGGCGGACGCCAATCTTTAAATAACAATGCAACAGTCTCAAAACAATATTTTGTGTGTGGGCACCAAAGCGTCTGGACGTGAAACCGTAACAGTTGCTCAGTTAGCGGGTAAGAATCAAATGACAAATTCCGCTACCTACCAGAACTGTTGTATGTAACTATAACGAAGTGCATTTGTGTGCATATCTAAAGGTGTATAGTAAATGCATTAGTGTGTGTGTAAATACTAACTTTTAACGGCCACGCGCCAAGAGAGAATTGTGTGCAATTAAAATGTTGGTTGGTTTTTAGGGTGAACCTGTCATTCAATCTAACGCGTTTTGAATTTATGAGCGAAAAAAACAAACCGAAAAAGTTAACAAAAAAAAAAAGGAAAAAATATAATCGAAGTGATTGGAATTTGTTTTGTAAACTGGTTCGTTGTTTTTGTTTTTGTTTTTGTCTCTCACTCTCACCCGTTCACCTGCTTTGTGCTGTTGTTGCAATAACCGCAGCCAACTCTCTTGGAATTGGCCAAAATGCTGGCCATTCTTCGAGCACATGCAATACACTTAATAGCAAGCTTTCGTTTTTCATTTTTTAATTATACACTTTTCGCTTAGAGCAGCAAATTTTTGTGTGCTTGATAAGATTGTGTGCCAGATAGGAAGTACAATGTGTTAATCATTTATTTTATTATTTAATTGCAGGATTTAATCGAGTGCCCCGTTAAGAGGCTTCAACCGAAACAAAAAACCAAAAAAAAAAAACGCGGCAAAAGTTCAACAATTAAAATGAGATATTTTGGCGGCATTGAAGGGTAAGTAAGGTCGACAGCTGCTCTTAAAACATGAACTCCCGTCAATATACTCTGTATCTAACAATCCATCAAGTGCGCAATTGTTTAACAATGAGCTAGTTTATTGCTTTTGCGCGACAATTACTTATCAATGGGATCAGTTGCAACAAGCCCCTTTATAGTGATTTTTTCTTATATATTGCTTTAATCAATGCATATTTTTATTGCCCTGCACAAACATTGGCATTAGATAAAAAACACAACAGAATTAGAAACGCTTTTTAAATACATGGAGAGCCCAGAAACCGACGCAAGCCGGAAAGTTATCGCTGAGATAAATCAATTAAGCTCGACCTTAACCTTTTCAGAGTCAGCTGGGATTACAGAAAGATCGTCATACAAGTTGGGGTTGTAAGGGGGAGGGAGAGGCAGCGCTAGAATTCAGAAACACGCGATCTGATACGAGGAACATATGTCGAAGATTTCTGACTGCAAAAGATGCTCTTTCTGCATTCGTATTTGTCTCCTTTGTATTTATCCCTGTGGCATCTTCCCGGCTGTTGTCGGTTCCTAAGATCTCTTCTTTAACACATTGTGTCCGAACTCTGGCGAGGAATAAGATGAAAGCCACACGCAGATCTCAGATAACTCCAACTATCTCGAGTCAGCAGCTTATGCATCTTTATATTTTTGTTTTTATTAATATCTTATATCGAATTGTTAAAAAACTTTAAGCTGACCTGATAAATTTGACCAGCTTTGTCTCGGGAATCTTTTTGTTCTTGGTAATCGTGCGCTGTCCATTCATAAAGGGCACCAGCACCTCGGGTATCTGTATGGAGTCGGCGCTCTGATACGACTCAACGAGGGCGATCAGCAGGCGGGGAATAGCCGTTGCGGTGCCATTGAGGGTATGGGCATGGACAAGAGCCGAGTCGCGGGCACGATTGTATTTAACATTTAGCCGCTTGGCCTGGTAATCCGTGCAGTTGCTGCAGCTGGAAATTTCGCCCCACATCTGGCGGCCCGGCAACCAGGCTTCTATGTCGTATTTCTGATACGCGGGCGCACCCAGCTCACAGGGCGGCATATCGAGCAGTCGAAAATTGATGCCTAACTGCTTGAAAAGATCAATTTCAATGTTCTTGAACTCTTCGAGCATTGCATCAGACTGTTCGGGCGTGGCAATGGCAAACATTTCCACCTTGGTGAACTGATGCACCCGGTAAATGCCCTTCTCCTCGTGCAGACCCGACGTCTCGGCACGATAACAACGACTCACGGCGGCCACTTTTACTGGCAGCTCCCACTCCATTAGCTGTCTGTTGGCAAAGAAGCCGGCGAGCGCCATTTCGGATGTGCCCGAAAGGCATTCGCCCGTGTCCAGTTTGTAGACTTGTGTGCGCTCGCCCTCGGTGCGCATGCCGCAGTTCTCGATTATCTCCCTGGGCAGTATGTCGGGCACTGAGATTAGCTTAAAGCCATGTCTGGTGAGTGACCGCAGCGCATACTGTATAATGGCCTGCTCCAGCATGGCCAGCTGACCCGTTAAGTAGTAGCTCTTGTGTCCCGTGTAGTTGCCCAGGTGTTCCATGCGATACAGACTCAATGCACGCGCCAGTTCCGAGAACTCCTTGGCGCCTTGTTGCGGCAGCACCCGATGCTTATAGTTGGCCAGCTCCATCGGCTGATTGTCATAGGCAAGCAGGCGCGGATGCGTGGCATTCGGCAGCTGCTGCAGCTCAGCCGCCAGCTGCAGGCGTAACACATCCTCTGTCTGCCCGCCTTGCCGCAGTGCCTCCACCAGCTGGCGTATGCGTGGCACATTGTTCTTGTGCTGTCGCATTTGCACATTCTGCTCCAGCTCGTCCAGCTGGGCACTGGTTAGCGCCGGTTCGTCAGCTGCGTCATGTGCCTGCGTTGTTGTTGTTGTTGTCATTAGCCGCTGCGTTGGGCTCTGCCGGCACAGCAGCAGCAGCTTGCGTACATTTGTCAGCAGCTTCATTTCAATTCAATTGACGATTTTTTCTATTAATATAGCACGTTGAATGGTTTTAATTAGTTCGCGGCACATTTGCTGCCACACAGCACGCACTTTCCAATGTCTTGAAATGCTCAATTAACAAAATTAAACACAGTTTATTGTGCAATACGATTGTTTGTGTGCGGCGATATGGCAGCACCATTTTCTACAGTGCTGCCAGCTGGCCGACTCATTCGTGACGTCACAATGTTTTCGTTAAAGGGTGCAAGCGCCAAGCTTATCTTAGCTATAGCAAAAAGCCAATTTATATATTTATCAACAAAATGCAAACACGTTTAGCTAATAATCCCCCACTGCAGATAACACACAATAGCACATGTTGCTGTTCCGCAATTCACCATGCATTTATCTGAATTGAGGCGCGTTTAGATTGCAGTTCAACAAGCTGGCAACTGGCGCGCACAATAACGGCAATTGAATGGGGGAGCACTGACAATAAGCGCACACACAACCACACACACACACACATGTATATATATTATGTATATATGTATATCTTAATGTGACCTGGGCTTGTTAAATTTATGTTCAATTTACCCGCATTGATGTCTTATATCTCAAAAATAAACACATTCACTAGATCTATAAAAATAAATAAATGCAGGTCAAGTAATTAAAGCGAAATATCAAGGCATATAAATATAGGAGGGAAATTTGAATTTATAGAATTCGGGATATTATGAAATCGAAAAAATAAAACTGTTTACAGTTTCAGATACTTATTATTGTATTATTAAAACTTAAAGGTAAGGAAATAAAATTGTGCTTTTAAGATTCTTATTCTCGAGAACCTTCTTAGTTTTTCCTCTTTTTTCTTGAGAAGTTTTTAAAATCCATGATAAATAAATATAAACATATAACCTAAAAAATATTTATAGTATTTTTAAATTAAATTTAGATAGGTATACAAAACTTTATTAAACTTAATCCAAATATGAAATTTTAAATGCATAAAAGTCGGAAATTGATAAGGCACGTGAGGCCATCTATTGTAGCCTCTTTGAAAATTGATTAATTTAATAAACGTAACCAAATATAGAACAGTTTTAATATCAATTTGCTCAATTGGGTTGACTTAATTGAATTACTATTGATAGAGACGTTCGTAAATAGGCATTGTTCCCGGTCATGACCCTAAAGCATCACAATAGTCGAACAATAGCATCCAACCGGATGCACATGGCGACTTTACAAATTTCAGATATACATATAATATATATATATACTTTTTTGCAGCGGTGCAACGCACTCCCATTTGGTGATCTGCGATGAGAGCGGCGAATCTGTGGGCACGGCCAGCGGCCTGGGCACAAATCATTGGGGCATTGGCATACCGACATGTGCGAGGCGCATTGCCGACATGGTGGAGCGTTGCAAGGATGAGGCCAAGATACCAAAGGACACACCACTGACGAGCTTGGGTCTGAGCTTGAGCGGCTGTGAGCAGGTGGCGTATGAAGAATCCGGCTGATGGGAATCGCATGACTAAATCTCTTTGCTTAACTAGGAGGCTACCAATCGTGAGCTGGAGCAGGAGCTGCGCAGCATATATCCCAATCTGGCCGAGAGCTATGCAGTGTCGAGCGATACCATGGGCAGCATGTTTACCGCCACCTCCATTGGCGGCATTGTGCTCATCTCGGGCACGGGCTCCAATTGCCTGCTGCGCAATCCGGACGGCAGCACGGCCAACTGCGGCGGTTGGGGTCATTTTCTCGGGGACGAGGGCAGCGGTGAGTGCCATTGTGATGTTGTCTTTCCCACAAAGCCAATTATTATCAGCAACACGACCCAGTTGCGATTAGGATTTGCTGATAGCATTCGATGGACGGCTAATCATAGCTTCATGGGCAAATGTATGAGTAATTGTCATTTAATTGTTTTTTGCAGCTTGGTACATATCATATCGCGCCATCAAGCTGGTCTTTGACGACATGGACAACCTGGAGAAGTCGCCGCTGCCCATCGAGCAGACCTGGTCGCTCATCCGCGAGCATTTCAGCATAGAGACACGCTACGATATGCTGCCGCATTGCTATGCCAAATTCGACAAACCCTTCTTTGCCAATCTGTGCAAGAAGCTGGCCCAGAATGCGGAAGCCGGCGACAAGCTGGCCTTGTCGCTCTTCCATGAGGCTGGTGTCCTGTTGGCACGCATGATTAAGTCGCTGCTGCCCAAGGTGCACAGGGATCTGGTCAAGTCCGGCGATCTGAGTGTCGTCTGCGTGGGCTCTGTGTGGAGTAGCTGGAACCTGCTGCAGGAGGCTTTCATCTCGGAGATCTCCAAAATGAGCATCGATTACAATCTCAAGCTGGTGCGCATCACCAAGAGCAGTGCCTACGGCGCCTGCTACCTGGGCGCCGACAGTGCCAAATTCGATTTGCCCCGCAACTATGCCGATAACTTTACGGTGCTGCACATCCATCCGGGCAGCGGTCCGGCAAAAAATGGGCTCCCAATTAAGGACTGTTAGCGTAAAATAATTGTATTACTCAGGCATTCCAAAATGGTTCAGTGAATAAAACAAACCTATATACAAATCAAAAATATTGCGGAAAGGAAATTATTGATTAGCAATTATAAAATGTGAATAAGATATACAATTATATATAATGTAGATAAACAATTGTATTCCTCACGCCAGATAAAGAACCCAGTTTAAAAGGGTTTGTTAGAAATACGTATGAAAATTTTATTCGATAAAGTTCATTGTATTAAGTTTATGTGTGTGTTGTGTATATCATATATATATCGTATATATAATCAATTCTGTTACATATGCATATATGCTCCGGCATATAAATAATTTGATTTATATGCGCGCCGGCTAATTGGCTGTTTCACTTTTTATTTAATACTCTTTCTTTATTTTTTTTTAAAACTGTATTTTAGCGTTTAAAGCCAATTTATTCATTGCCCATTTGTCAATTCTTTGGCTAATTTGATTCTCGCATAATTAAGCAAAATTAATGTTTTTCTCTATTTTTAGTAATTAACTGAGCTGCACATTAAGGGTACATAGAAAAATTGTAGCGTGGAATTTTGGTAAATCTATAAATCTAGAGCAGCGTATAATTTGCATAATTCCATATACATAATGTGTAGAGTAAACCACAAAAAAAAGTAATAATAAACAATTGTAATAAAATCGAATGTATATATCTCTGGCTGGCATATACATTGTTTTGATTTGCAAAACTCAGCGTACATGCCCGCATATTGTGTGAGTAGCTTGTAATTCTGATTAAATATTAACGTAAGTGCCTACGATTAGCTTAAATGCAACATATGACATGCTCAATTGTTCATGCTTTGCCGCAGCTTTTGTGGATCCTGATAGTGCGACGACGAGGATATGACCGAGGGATGCTGTGGCGGCGGAAAGCAGCGCACATGCTCCACATTTGAGCCCTCACCGTCGCCGCCCTTCAGATATTTGTTAAGTATTGAAAAGATTTGTGAGTTTAATACTTGAAAGCGTCTAATGCGATCCACCATGCGCTTCAGTTGCTGCAACAAGAAGTGAAATTATTAATTGGGATTCGATTTTGAATTCATGGCCTACTTACAATGCCTTTAACATCCTCATCTTTGCCATCGACGCGCTGCACGCGCAATATGTGATAGCAAAAGTCGAGCGCCTCGAAGCGTCGCTGCTGGCCAAGCAGCACAATCATGACGCAGCCAGCCCAGTTGAGGCCCTCGCCGAACAGCTCCTCGATGGTGTACTCGGTGCCGCGCACTGGTATACAATAGACAAACTGCAGTGCGGACCACAGGCGATGAAATTCGGAGCACTCATCCACGTGTATGATGCCATTGGCGGGCGGTGGCCCACACCAGACGGGATCATCCAAATAGCTCTTCACGCGATTCAATATTACCTCAAAGATGCTCAGGCCGCAACAAAGACGCTCGCGTGTCAGCAAATCTCCCTCTCGTGCTATCATTGCTTGCTGTGGTTAAAAACGATAGAAATATAAGTTTAATAGTGGATATTATTCGGCGTCGCACGGGTTAATGAAAAATGAATACAAACTACGAACATATACGAAGACTATCTACTTGCTAAACAGTTTAGAATAGCAGACTTTATACGAGGAAGAGAAGGCTCCTAGCAGAATACTCTGTAATGTTTGTTATCATCATCACAGAGCTTTTGAATGAATATTACACCAAGCATGGTTCGACGATTAATTAATGACAGCAGATTAATAATCAGACGTTGATGGTAACCGCACACGAGGATCCCAATTTAAGCCACAAAGGACAAACAACCAGAATTGTTTCTGTACAGATTGAATTCTGTCTTGATGAATCGAATATTGTGGTGACCAGATACATGAGGCATACTCAAGTATAGGTCGTACCAAAGATAGATAAAGGGTCTTTGTCGTGTACGGATCGTCAAATTCCTTCGACCAACGCTTGATGAAGCTCCAAACAATTATGGACTGTCCACGGTCTTGACATGTGAGTCGAATTTAAGTTTAAGAATGATCCTTAACTTCATTACAATAACTGTTGACACGCTCGAGCAGTAAGCTATCAAGGATGTAAGAAGCCAATTGAGGTGTGCTTCTATAGAAAGTCATTATCTTACATTTAAGAGTTGGTGGATTACATTTTGTAAACCTTGATTAAATGCTTTCAACTTCCCAATATAAAACTACTTGGCATTCGGTTAATTAACAAAAGGTAGCTAGCTCAAATTAGGCTTCTCAGTATTACGCTATTCTTTATGATGTAATCATGAATCAGTAAATAGCCAGTCGGCATAATCAGTTAAGTGAGTCACCCACTATTTACCTTGGCTGTACCAATTTTCTCCACGTTGGAAACGATTTGCAGATTTGCAAACTGAGCCTCCAGACGTTTCTGCTTGGCCTCCGGTTTTTCATTCTCTGTAAACATTAAATGTACATCATAAATATTATTATTATTTTAAGCTGATCTATTCAGACGCACCTTTGCAGAATGGACGCGGAAAGATGTTTTGGAAGAGCGCCGCATGCAGCAGATCGCACACCTCCTCCTGCGACAGGGCCTGCTCGATGAGCAGGCAGAAGATGATGCAGTTGCCAAACTCTCTAAACGATTGAAATAGCTCCGTTTTGGTATCCGGATATTGCACAATGTCCGTTAGATGCGCCTGGTAATAGCTGAGCACGCCGGGCGATCCATATTCGCAGCGCGGCAACTTGCAAGATTTTGGCATTGCAATCATCAGAGTTTTGGTGAACTGCAGCAACGAGCCCTGTATCAGCGGCTTGACAATGTCCTTCAGTATAATGTCCATGACGACTGCGATGCCCTGATAGCCCAGCAGCCGGCACATGGCATGAAAATGCGGTGCACCCACAAAGCCCGTATACTGGCCAAACTGTGTGGAGTACGCAGCATTCAGCTGCTTTGAGCCCCATAGATAATAATGCGACATCTGCGAGGGTTTCTCACGCTGTATGGCCTGTGTGGACGACAAATTGACCTTGGTGCGTATAAAGCTGCAAAAACAAGGATGGGTTAGATATTTAATACTGTGCTATATAAAAGGATTAGCAGTAGAGCCCTGCATCGGTTCGATGTGAGACAAAACACGCACAAACATAAGCTAAAGTGTCGAGTTTTGTAGCGTGCTCGATCAGCTCGAGCTTACTTTTTTGATTGTACCAAGTTTTTAGAAGAAGTTGGTCGACTCAATATATTGTCTGCAGTGCTCTAGTTTAAGTGCTCGAAAGGCGCTTTGGATGACTCGATGCAGAGCTCTAATTAAGCAGCTTACCGATTTGTGGCCGCATTATAGCAGTAATTAACCAGAAAATCGTAATTCAATTCGACGAAAACATGCAATGTGATCCGACCATAGGGCGCCAGCACATTATGATTAGCCTCCTTGACCATGCCATCAAAGTTATCCAATGCCAAATACTTGCTGAGCATTTTGTGACAAATGCGATTGGCTTCCAAAAGCCCCTCAAGTTCCTGCGCAAATAAAAATAGACCAAAGTTGAGCTTGTGGTTGGGTTTGTGGCTAATGTTCGGCTTACCACAATGCCTGTGATGTCGTTGCCCTCGAAGCGGCTGATGGCCAATTCGATGCTCTTGTGCATGCTTGCATTGATGCGTTGTGTAATCAGTTTGTTCAGGTCAATGGAACGGCCTGGAAAGCAAGCACATGTAGTCAAATAGTTGTAACTAGAGTTGGGAGTTCCCAGCTGACTTACCCAAGAGCTGCACATGTCGTTGCTTTAGCAGCGTCTCGTAGCGATTATTGCGTGGATATGATTGGAAATTGAAGCCAAGCACCTCGCACTCCAGGCGAAAACGTTTATCCAAGAAAATGCTGCAAGGAAACAAGTGACAATGTTCTAATTAAATGAGCCCGACTAGCAGATACCCTGCACCCAGTTCCCTTCATGAACTTATTGAAAAACTCTAGATCCTAGATCTTTCAATGCTAATAATCTATATTTATCAATTTTAGTTAAGTGTGAGAAGCTCGATGAAAGGATAAAATTTATCTGAAATAATCAAAATTTATAGTCTATAGTCTGTAGACAGACGAACAAGTGTAGATGGACTTTCAGATATATTATACCCATTCATTTATAAATATTCTATGGGAACATGGCACAAAATAAAGCTTCGTGTCCATCTGAGGATCCAAAATAGGACTCACCTGCCCGCCAGCTGCTTATAGTGGGCGAATATCTGTTCGCTTAGCTTATAGACAAACTGATCAAAGCATAAATTGACCTCGGCCTCCACCTCGTCGTAGAGGAATTGCTTGCGGAAGACAGTCAGCGCATAATGTGCCGAATCGTTGTACAAGTCCAAGGGATACAAGACGAATCTGAAATAAAAATAGTTGTTAATTATCTTAATCAGATAGTTTGGGTTAGAAACCTACTCCATCATGGATGGCTCCTTGGTCTGGAGTATGTGATCAGTTAATATCCAAGGCATAGACATTTCAATAGGGAACTGTATGCGTTTCTCCATGGTGATCAAATCCTTGCATTCCTCGTTGTGCTGATGCCGCACCAGGCACTTGTTCACCTTGCGGCCCATGGTCATTTCCAGGTAGAACTCGCGATACCATAGCTGGGATAGATCGCAGCACTTTTGCAGCGTGTCACTCAGATTGAGCAAGTAGCTCCAATAGAAGGATGTCTTGTGGAACGTATCGATCTGCATGAGGCAGTTGCCATCGATGTCCTTTCGCAGCGTTCGCTTGCCGCCACTCTTGTCGGCAATCAGGGACTCCAGCATGGTGCGGACCATGTACAGCTGCGTGGATGAGGGGCCCACATTCAGGCGGGGCACATGTATGCGAAAGCCACCATCGGGATCCTTCTTGCCCTTGGACACCGGATCGTCGGTGGGTTCAAAGCCCTTCTGCCAATCGGCTGAGGTTTCACGCACAGACATAATGATGCTGCGTATCAAATCCTTCTTGTTTTTGACCGCCTTGCGGAGCGGTTCACGTAGCGTTAGCTGCACAAAGTCCTGCAGCTCGGAGTAGATATTGCGTCTTATTGCTTCAC